AATTAACAAGCTCTTTCTATTTCAACTCAAGTGCAGTTGAAGGCAGACACGAAAAATTTGTGAACGTTTTACCCTCTTTGCCCAATTACACCCACACTCTCCTTAGCAAAGCAAAACAGCGATGAGTTATGGAGAACCCAAATTGAATTGATTTGATCCACAACAGAAAGATGCCGTCTTTGTTATGAGTTTAACAACCAATGGTAATCTTTGACAATAAATGACAATTAACAATCTGCATAAAAACCTTTCAAACTTTTTGCATTATTTAGTGCATTGTTAATGAACTAATTTTGAAGGGAAGACTGATAAGCAGCCGCAAATTTGAACACTGCATCGTGCTAGATCATGTCTTCTTTCGACTCGGGGGCCTTCCCAGGTTTGTAGAGAATAACGACTTGTTCAAAGGGATTAGTGTTTAACTGATCAGAAATATAAAGCGGTTAGAGCGGGGGTAGGGAGTTAGGATTTGAATCACCGGATTTGAATTGACCCTCAAATGTCACAACCGTGAAAATTGAGATATAGTTAAGATTTAATCACAACCAGTTCATTCGCCTCAACTTCTCAGGTCGAAAAAGAAAGACAACCCATGGCGTAAGACAGCGAGATAACAAAAACTTCTCAAACTCTTAAGTAAATATTTTTTAAAGGTTATGGAAATCATAACTCCGTGGTCTGATTCGTGGTAAGTTGAAATGACCGCGGAATCTTTCCTCAGTGATAGTATATGAGTGCGTTTGAGAAGGTGACGTGGCTCTTATTCTTGAGCCAGACTGCCTTGTACTCTGATGAAGTTATTTCGCAATAAGGTCGCATATTAACGGAAAGATAGTCTGGATAATCAATAACGATACTAAACAACAAGAGTACAAAGCAGCACACGATTGAAAGGCTCGATAGATTGGAAATATCTCCAATTAAAGATATTGGTTGAATTTCCGTAAGAAACTGATTGACAAATGTATGTGGAAGCAAACAATGTCTCTCTAATTAGGATTCTTGCTTACTGCAGCCAATACACTGACTTAGATTTTACGGTTTAGTTCAGTTTCCGCACTCATATTGAGTTCGTTTTTGTAACTGCCCCCTTTGCAGACAGCTGTGTGCTGTTACAGGGAACCTTTGAATAATAAAGCAAATTGTAAAAGAACATAGAGACGAGACGTATCACAGGTTAATAGTGGTTATTACCACAACAGCTACTTAACACTTGTGGCACGGTCCAGTCGCTAGTAATCCCGTCCAGCTACGCCGGATAAAATTGGTAACGGCAATTTCTGCATTTAACTCTTTCACTCCCAAGAGCGATCAAACAGAAACTATTCTTCTCGGAAACAATAAAATTTAAAGCAGAAAGTTAAAGATAAGTAAGTAAAATATCAAGCTGAGGACACTATTTGATTTAACTCTCGCATCAAATTCCCTCAGGAATAATTGAAAGAAATATCTGGGCAGCCAGTGAGTCAGTGAGGTGAATTTATTTTCAAATCGTGGGAGTGAATGGGTTAGATCTATCCGATATCATGTCAATGAGACACGAGATCGCTCTTTTTCTTATCTACAATAATTTGGTCACTATTAAATTGTGGTCCTCCATTCTTTCAAGTCTGGCAAACAAAGCAAGATCGTAAGTTATTATCTCTTGTAATTAACATAGTCGTTGTTTTCAGTTATATCCGTTTTTAAAAGGTCGGGTTTTTTTTAACGGACAATTTACTCAGATTACGCTGTGAACGGTTGGCGTTTTGCCAAAAGTATAGAGTATGTTTCCAAATTCATCCGGTTTAATAAGGACGAGGCTTGTCTAGCTTCCCAACCAAAGGTTAAAAATCATGATCTGCTCCCACTTTCCCATTAAAAAATTTTTTGTCTTACTTAGCTCTATTAAAATGTGTTCCCTTTCCGTCTTAAATTCATTTCCTACTCTGTGGCCAGACACTGCTGTTCCACCCAGTCCTAGAAGTACAGATTTGAGTGGTATGGAGCACGTCTTTATATCGGAGAACCTACATGAGCCAACATTTCAACATCTGGGTGAGTAGCCTCATATTACATGGTATTTCACTTTTCTTGGCGCTTGATCAGTCTTGAAACTTGTGAACGAAGAGCCTCAAATGGATATGCTCACTGAGATATAAGATAAGTGTCCTGAGAGCAGGGAACAGGTGGAGCTGAACCTCACCCCACATGACAATTTTGGCTGAGGGGTCAAAGCTTTCCATCCCACCCCTGGCTAGAGTGCAGAAAGTACAGTCAACTCTCATAGCGACCGGACACTTGGTCCAAAAAAGTAGTTGCTTGAGGAAGGCCGTCGCTCAGAAGAAAAATTGTAACAATAAGTCAAAATTACATCTACTTCTTAACTCTATACGGAGCATCAGTTTAAAGAAAGATGACATACAAAGCTCCTTTACTAAGTTGCCAAAGTTCACAAAGCAACCAGGTGGACAATCAGACATGGTTTGATGCTACTCTAGTTTAAATATTTAATGAATGTAACATTTTTGAAGCATGCATTAGAGACAGTTTTTTCCAACCAGAACTTCCAACTTTTTCCATAAACCTAGATTCTGGTTATATCATTATAATAATAATAACTATTATTGTTACTATTATTCGAGGAGAAATTGTAGTGATTTACGCGACCGTGATTCTTGGAAAATTGTGTGTGATAAAGACACAAAGGATTTGTCAAATTTCTCAAAGGTGGAAATAGTTGCAGACGGGAAATTTGAGCATTGGTCGCCTAAGAAAAAGTTGTGAAAGGGTATGTGACGAAGTAGTTGTGGATGCCGGACTGAACCGCTCTATCGCCTGGGGAGCATGAGATTACACTCCCTCCCGTGACCTCAGCAAAGCGTTTCATATGATATAATTTGGATATATCAACAAAGTTGAAATGGTAAATTGGCCACCATAACGATTACAAAAGCTGACGTTTCGAGCGTTAGCCCTTCGTCGGAGTTAATTCATATGATACATCGTGGAATTTTTGGAACAACTACCCACTTCAAGTAGGTGTTATTACCCTTCGATTTAAAACTCAGAAGATACTACCCAGTTGAAGAAGGCGGCAGGATTAAGGAAAAATGAAACTACCCCCCCTCTTCCCCCAACCCTCCCTCCCGACCAACGTTTGAACTAGTGTTCGCTGTTACTTAAATTTGAGAAGTAAGAAAGAGCAGACATGAAAAAGTGATTTGAAAAACCCACTTGATATAGCAAGAAGAAATGAACCGGTGATTGGATGAGTGACTCCGGTAGCCAGCTGTCATCGGACGATCAGTCAAGTGTTGCGAACAACCTCTGAGCCACTATGAATATGTAAATGTCATTTCTTTTAACTGCAGATAAATGAAGATATAAAAGAAAGTGATCTTCGCAGTTGTAAACACCAATGAAAAAAAAAAAAAAAAAACTGTACGGGATTGGTATTGAACCCATGATCTGTGACACCGGTGCAGTGCTCTGCCAAAACTAAAGCCCCAAAACTAAACTACCGCGACAGTAGGCTAAAAGATTCCAAAGTTGGCGAGTCCGGATAATCGAGGTTCAACTGTGCCACTGCACACTCGCCTGAGTACGTGATCGCATGGTGGGTATCACGTGTAGCTTTCCCAAGCTTATTCCACTTGAGCAGCAGCTTTGTTATTCTAATTTGACTGACTGAAGTATTCTCAGTAAACCGCAAACATAACGATAAGAGTGAATCTTTGTTACAAAATACAAATAGCACCGTTGAAAAAATCTACCTGAAGCGTACAGCTATTTTGTAGAAGCTGGTGTACATTGACAAAGGCCAAGCAAAAGCTATTTGTATGACAGACGGTGAGTGCAGTGCAGGGCAAAACTGTGATCTCTTCTGTAGTAACTACGTAGAGGTTAAGTAAACTGATCACAATATGCCGATCGACTTACTGATCGCACTCCTGCAATAGAACACAGTGAGAAGCAGCTGCAAAATTATGCACCTTGATACTTCGGTAATGATATGTCTTTTTTTTCCGATTTTGGATTGTTTTAAGCGGGCACAGTTTTCGATCGTCAATTCGTAGCCAGAATCTCCAATAAAACTAATAATATCTTTGGTTACCAAATCGAGGCAGACCCTGACGTTAGCAGATATGCTTTGAGTGCTGAACGGAGTGAAGAGGGAGAGGTAACGGAAAAGAAACGAAACGAAAGAAAATATATCGACGTTAATCCAAATGAAACTGTTTTCAACTTGATCAAAACTTCGACGGCAGCATCGACAATCTGTTTACTATCCACAAGAAAACAAGTTAGACAAATAATTTACTTTCTACTCCGTCTGAAGGTTTACGGGAGTAAATCAAGCTTAAACAAAAGAAACCGGTTGCACGATGTTATTATTAGTAAAATAAGACGAGTTCACTAACCGTGATAGGTCGCAAAGGTCGTAAGTGTAGTATTTGAAAAAGTTCCGGTTCAACCAGTGTTTAACAAAGAATGATAAGAATGGCACATTAGTTCGACTGGGTTCAGTCGCGAGTTTGCTTAGCTGCACGAAGCTGCACGTAGAATCTATCAAGAAACGGATCAACTTTACAGCGAGACTGGTAAGGATTGACTGCACAGACCTGTAAGGTATTTGACTATCTATCTGCTGTCCTGATAGGCTTTGTTACTCGCGCCATTTTATTACATAGAATGCTTTGGCAATAACGACACTCAGCAGTAATCCGATGAAAACAGTCTTGCCTTTGTTTTCCACATGAGGGCGGAGACATTCAGAGAGGCAGTTGTATCGATACCAAAGTAATGAAGAGAGTATGCTCTGATGACTGATCAATTCAAAACACAGATTCTCTAAAGCAGCTTGTTTCGTTAAGACGCGCAGCAATGCGAAAGTCGCGTTTGAACGCAGAGGATCAAGATTCGGGTTTAAATATTTGCATCAACTGCTGGGCTACATAATAACGAAACTGAACCTTGTAGAAGCTATCTTATTTCTCTTTTCGTGTCTCCACAAGGAGGCATTCTTATTAATTCAGTCCTCTTCTTACTGCTGATTAAGATTCATACATGTGAAAATCGGAGTGATCAAACAATTGGGAGGAAATTATCGAACCTTTAGTCTCTCTTTAGTCTTAGACTATTTATCGTCCAGGATGTTGCAACGTAACAATATTCTTTCGTCGAAATAAAGTATGTTAGTCGCAAACGTCACCTAACCGTATCGTAAATGAATGCATAAATCAAATCAGGCCCACCCGGTTGATTTGGTTGACTAATTAATCCGAAGCCATGGCATTAAAGATTAGAACAAGGAAGAAGGCGGAAAAGAATCTATCGATTCGAAATCGACAAGGAATCTAGAACTTACGAGCCTACGGCAAGTCGACTCAATATCAAACTAAACAGGTCAGGCATGAGATTGTGCAGGGATCTTTCCACATTCCACTGCACCAAAAAACAGGAACCAAGCGAAAGGTGGCGATGAAAAATGAAAAGGTATTCGCAGTACACAAATGAACTCGACGTGTTGTAGATCTTGAGACAAGGTGGGCTTCAGACTTCCTTTTTTACTGTTATAAAGGAAAGGTGACGGAAGTTCAATTTCTCATAACCTTCACCGATCGACCACCTTGAGTTCGATTCGATCAGCGAAAACAAGAAGGATTTTATACTTTGCGCCGAATGATAATCTGTTTTATAGCCACTTAGATACATTTCCTTTCCATTTAAAGGCTGTAGCGCGGTAGTTTCCTTCCGTAAGGGCGAGGATGAAAGAAACACTCTCGAGGCTCCAAGTTTACTTGAGCTGAGTGTCATTATTTTCTCATCGTTCTTTCTCGACTGATCTAACGGAAAACTTCGAGGACTTTCATAGTTTTCTTGTTTATGACTGTCAGTTTTCATTTTCGTTTCAGTACCCCATTCTCGTTTTATCATCATCTCATACCTCCACCAATATCAAGTACACACTTTTGACAGGAAGTCCGTTTCCTGTTGGAGACCACCGTACAAAATATCACGATCTGGTTCGGACACGAGTCACGCATGTCAGTATTTAAAATATGCAGTATTTTCAGTGGCATCGATTGGCAATACGAGAAATGCATTTTAGGAATAAAATAATGTCAAGAGCGAATTTCCGGCCAAAATAAAAATCACAATATTATTCCTATTTAACCTTTGCGGCACGATGAGAAAGGCTTCAGTTATTTCGCCACACAGATAGTTCGGGGTCCCGCTAAGCAGGACCAGAGGAAAGGGGCTTACTGAAACTTGATGGAAGCCAAAATACGAGTCACGTTTTTCATTTGAATCGCTGCCGAGGTCTACAATACGAAATTACGTTTTTATGGATCAAATCAAAAACGCATTAATTTACTCTAACACAAATTCACGTTGATTCGTCAAAGTTTTCATTTGTCAACGCTTTGTTTAGGGGGAAGGAGGAGGGGAGCTTTTTACGTTATCAGGGGTGTCAAAAACTTGAGGACAGGGCACCATTAGAGCTCACGTCCGTTTAATTTTTTTTCGTTAGGTACAGTGGTGTATCATCATTACGCATCAATATAAAAAATAGCAACGAACCTTTTAATTTTTTCGAAGTTCATTTATTTGAAATGATTACGGTCGCAAAATTAATCGCACCATAGGGTAATTTGATACGGAAAAGTCACCTTGTGTCGTGAACGTAATTTTATCAGTAACAATGTTTGACGGAGCGGACCTCTTACGATGTTACGCAATTTTAACATTTTTCTTTTTGGTCATCCCGCTTAGAAACACGTGAAAACACCTTCACACCCTCAAGAGTTCAGAAAATACACAAAACTTTCACGATAGTCCTTTGCAAACTCATAAAAATATGGCACTCCGTACACGCCAACGGTTACAAATAAATATTTCAGGATCGGTTAGTTAAAGGTCCTCAACTTTCACGAATTTGCAATGTTTTCTTGAAAATTCATATTTATACATAATCAAATGGTTAATAGTCTCCCTTGCAGCCCTTTCCGGCGTCGTCACGCAAGCGAAAACTTCCGTTGGTGGGAGAGTTTTTGCTTGCATGACTACGCCGGAAAAAGCTGCAAAGGAGACTAAATGGTCAATTGTCTTATGTAAAATCGTGAAGGCGTGACGTCAGCTAATTGGTTGATCATTGATCAAAGGTCGCAGCATGTTTTCGAGTGGTTTACATTTCAACATACCTTTCGCGCGCACAAACTCACGGGATCTCTTCGTTGTAACCAGAAGCGAAAGTTACTTCGTGCTTTATTAGTATCAGTGTATCGAAGCACTCCTGAACGAAGTTGCTCGTTTTCTTACCAAGAATACGACCAGGACCTGATTAGTTGCAGTCCACACTGCAATTCACTCGCGATCGCTGGAAAGTCAACATTTGGGCTAAAGCACATTTGAATACTACGAATACTAAAGCACATTTAAATACTACGACCTCCTACGATCTACGGTGCACGTTAAATCCGTAAGAAGCAGCCCCAGATAAAACGTTAAACTACTGACAGATCGTTTAGGTAAACGTAATACCTACTCTGATGCTTTAGTACGCTGTCGAAAACCCCATTTGTGGTACTAGCTTCGTCCCCACGTGTTTGTTTATATTGTGTTTTCTGTTCTTTATTTCCAAAGGGATGGATCCTTCAGTGCGAGATGACAAGTCAACCGACATTTTGACTCACAAATCTAAAGAAGACCTTTCTCGTGAACCTAATGGAAAGTCTTCAACCGACATCGGAAAAGCCGAGAGCGGCGAAGGAAAAGAACAACGTGAAACTTGGGGCCATAAGGCAGAATTTATTCTAGCCACTGTTGGTTTAGCTGTTGGTTTGGGCAATGTTTGGAGGTTCCCCTACCTTTGCCAAAAAAACGGAGGAGGTGCGAGCACTTATTTTCCTTTAAAAAAATAAAATTCTTGTGATATCATGGTTAACACTATTAGGGCGGCGATTGCAATAACAACGGTCGAACAAATTTGATGCACGCCTAGATAGGTCCCCCCTGGAGGCTCTTCAGTGAAGCACCTCTCGTACTCTTTTCTGAGTATACCACATCCGTTGTTTAAGGTTGCAAAAACGTTAGGGAACTTGAATATCGAGACTTTAAATAGTAACGCAGATTTTAATCTTCACAAGCTTTACTACACTACCAGTTGTGCCGGAATACGATCAATGGGATTCGCGTGATGTATTTACAGTGACGTGACGTTCCACGCACGCGATGCGTATTTCCTGGAATTTCGTTACGATTTCATTATTTATTAATCGAGGAAAAGTCAATTTTCTAGCAATTAAAATCGATTGGACAACGCAACCTCAATAGCGGTTCTGTTTGTTCAACCTATCCAACTGCGACGACAAAGCCACCTTCCCACGAAACTTGTTCAACCAAAACTACAAATTGAACACGCCAGTGTTCATCATATTTCAAATAACAACGAAGAATTGATGTCACCTTGGCGACAAACTTTTCAAAGTGTCTTGCATACTTTCTCCCAAGAAATTTACCTGCCGGAAAAAAAAAAAAAAAACACGAGCAAAATAGTGGGCACGAAGGTTGTTAACGTCCGAGAAGTTTCCATGTTGATTTATGAATCCCATTTTGGAATCACTGGTGTTTCTTGCAATCTGATCGATCCAGAGACAAGCACTATCTTTTCGCAGCCTCCGCTCATTTCATTCAAACGCGACAAAAACATAGGCAATTTTTTGTTCAGAAGTTCTTTTCAGACTGATGACCAACCAGGCACTTTTAAATGCACTCGTGCACGATGCAAAACGTGTCCTTTCATTCACAACACTGATAAAATATCGGGACCCAAACGATCCATTAAGATCACCGATCACTTCACGTGCACCTCCGCCAATGTAATCTATTGCATAACTTGCACTTATTGCAAAAAGATATACATCGGCGAAACAGGCAGAAGACTAGGTGACCGATTCAGAGAACACCTTCGCGACGTGGAAAAGAATGACAAGGACAGATCGAAACCAGTCGCTAGACACTTTAATTTACCTAATCATTCTAAGCAACATATGGCAATCTGCGGTCTTTCCTTACACTTAGGTAGCACGGAAAGCCGTAAAACTCTGGAACAAAAGCTCATCTTTCAAACCGGCAGTCTAAATCCCACAGGGATCAACGAACGCTTTTCATTCCACTAATTTATTCGCGTTTTCTCGTTGCCATGTTCCCACTAATAACGTAGCTCCATTTTCTGCCTTTAAAATCACACACAACCCACAGTTTCTCTGTAGAGGTTTTGGACAGCAGCTATGTTGGATGGCAGGAACAATAGATCATCTTACCCATGGGAAAAAAATTTCTTTCTTATGCAAAATATTTTCATTGTTCCTGCCATCCAACATGGCTGCTGTGCAAAACCCCTATTCGCTTCGATGAAGGGCTAACGCTCGAAACGTCAGCTTTTGTAATCGTTACGGTGGCCAATTTACCATTTCAACTTTGTTGATATATCCAAATTATGATCGACCCTTAGCTGTACGATTCATTCATATATTTTGTTGATATATCCAAATTATGATTGACCCTTAGCTGCACGATTCATTCATATCTTTACATCCATTTTGAAATTACTTTTGTTCATTGCAATCTGACCGGCTCTCACTGGTGCGATTCATTTACAAATCGCACCATTTTGACATAAATCGTATCTTTTTTCCCAGCCAATGAGATAGCTTTACTAAACGAACCAACGAATTAAATTTCTTGATTTATTTAAGATAGGAATGTAATTGGAGGAAAACGAGAAATGACTTTTACAACTTTTTACAAACCAGCACCATAGACTAGATCAATAATACATTTACACCAAATAAAAAAAAACTTGTAGTGAGCTGGTGAATTTTTGCAATTTCAAAATACAGATGTAATAAAGTGGTAATCGAACTTTGTGTAGTGCACTTTTGGTTTGAAATCATACTTGTGATTTCAAATTTAACAAGTGCACGGCACAAGTTTGATTTTTGATTCACTCGTATGATTTCAGACCACATTGCACTCCACCCAGTTCAATTACCATTACCAATTACTCTTAATTTTTCTTGCCTACAGATTGAGCACTGAAACAAAATAACCAATCAGATTTTAGGGGTGCAATCACAGACAAATAATTCCTTTAAAACAAAAAAAGTAGACCAAAATCCTCTATTTAAGCTGTTTTAGTGCGAATTCCAACTGGAAAAATTGAAATAAAAATAAGCTGGTGATGCGCAATTTTGGTCAACAAACGTGCTTGTGATTTCAAATCAAATGAGCATTGCTTTTGAGTTCAATATACTAATCACTTATGTGATTTCAGACAAATTTGCATTCCACTCAGTTAAACTACCCATATTCTTGCACACTGATCAAAGAAAATTGATAAGTTAAAGGTTTTTCAACATAAAATTATGATCAAAATTTTAAGATGCCATAATTTGAACTCTCTATTTAATAAGGAGGTTGAAATAATTTGGACACTATACAGTACCACTACATCTCTTTCAGACTCCCCACCCATCATAGTGATAGCAAAATTTAGTAGTTATAATATACTTCAGACAAAGAGGTAAATCTGAGAGACTACTTATTATAACAGATAATTTTCATCTTGACAATAAATCTACCATTCAACAGGTGCTTTTCTTATCCCTTATGCGATCTTCATGTTGATCGAGGGATTGCCACTCTTCTTCCTGGAATTGAGTATTGGTCAGAGAATGAGAAAAAGTGCCATACGTTGCTGGCAGGATGTGCACCCAGCCCTGTTTGGTATTGGTGTGTCATGTCTTATGGTCTCACTGATGTTGTGCCTCTATTATGTGGTTGTCATTGCTTGGTGTTGTTATTACTTCTTCATTTCATTCACCAAAACGCTACCTTGGGAACATGACAAGCTTTGCACTAACTATAATGAATTTACAAACATCAAAAAGACCCTTGATAGCATGTGCAGCACCAGTAACAAAACTTGCCAAAGCACCCCAGAGTACCAAAAAGTGAATAAAAGCTATCATAATTTCCCAGACTGTTGTGTGCGAGACCCACCACAATACTACTTCTACCACCACGCAATGCAAATTTCAAAAGATATAGAAGACCTTGGAAGTTTTAATGGAAAACTTGCAGGATGTTTAGTGTTTGCATGGGTCATCACATACCTTTGTGTGGTCAAAGGAATTAAATCAAGTGGAAAGGTATTATTTTTGGCTAAATTCAAATGTAAATAGATCTGCAATTTGTGAGAGGTCCCACTGGCCAGTGTACCAAACTTAAGATAAAGGAACTATTTTAACACCTCGACTAGGGTTACAGTACAGTTCACATCTCTCTCAGACTAAAGTATGGTAACTTACACGAGGAAATTGAGTATCCTATCATCCAAGGAAGGGGTGAAGGGCAGAGGGCTGAGAAGTTGAATTGAATGTTGTAAAAGATGACCACTGCTTTCCATTTTTCTTCAATTTTTCGTAGTTAGTTATATTCATTCAAATGTTCTAGAGATTTTTAAGGATGCCATTGGACTTTCAAAAGAATCTTTTACATTTTCACAACTGTTCTTGAGATTTTGAAGATTTTAAAAATCTCAGCAAGGTTCTTCAATCTTGTAGGAAAAGTTTGCAGACACTGGGTTTAGTGTTAAGTAGTGATATGAAAAAAAACTGTATGAACTAGTTATGGAGTTTCAAGAATGAGTTTCTGAATCCTCTAAATTCAATTCTATTTTGCACTTTTCCTTCTAGGTTGTGTATTTCACTGCAACATTCCCCTATGTCATTCTCATCATCTTGTTCTTCCGAGGTGTTACATTGGAGGGAGCAGGAAATGGTGTCAAGGCATTTTTCAAACCAGATGTGAGTAGATTTGCTAATAGCTGAGGTCCCTTAAACTGTAATCCTAATGTTCTGTTTTCAAATTGTTACAGTGGAGTTTGCTGAATAATGCCAATATTTGGAAAGATGCTGCCACCCAGATGTTCTTCACCCTCAGCTTAGGATTTGGTGCACTGATAGCATTTTCCAGTTATATGCCTGTTCACAACCAAGTGATGCGTGATGCCTACACAGTGGTGTTTATCAACTGTGGCACATCAGTGTTTGCTGGAATTGTAGTGTTCTCCATTTTAGGATATAGGGAACACATCACAGGCATCCCAGCTACTGAGGTACGATAATTTTCTAGATAACACTGACAGCTGATTCTGGTAACTATACAGTTAAAAAAAAATCACGATCACTGTGTTTGATAACTGTATGATTTTTGTTAAAATGATCATATTTGTAACTAAGTTTCTGTGCATTCAGCTGCAACACTGTATTTCAGAATGAATACAATAAGAACCTAAGAAAAAATTCTACAAGATTTGCCTTAATTACTACTGGTAGGGTAAATTCTGCTTGGATGTTAAATCACATCTACCTCGCTGTGTAAAAGTTTTCCATACACAATTCAGCCTTCGTACAAAGAAGTGCATCCCATAGCTTATCTATAAATGACTGAGCCAACAAATGATATGTGTAACTGTATTTCTTTTCAAATAAACAGGTTGGGTCTGGTCCAGGACTTGCCTTCATGACATTCTCTGATGCCATTCTTTTGATGGATGTTTCACCACTCTGGGCCATCCTGTTCTTCTTCATGCTGATTCTTCTTGGTATTGACAGCGAGTTTGGCACCCTGGAGGCAGCCATTGGTCCCATCATGGAGCTGAAGATTTTCCCCAACATGAGAAAGGAACTTCTTACACTCCTAATTGCAGTGATCTTGTTCGTGATTGGTTTGTGCATGGTTTCTGGACCTGGTTTCTACATTTTCCAAATGTTTGACGATTACTCTGTCACCATCCCATTACTAGTGATTGCTTTGTTCCAGTGCATTGGAGTAGCATGGGTTTATGGTAATGACAGGTATGGCAAACCTTCCACTAGCATTTTAAATGATAAAGCAGCCAACTGAATCAATACTACCTAGACACCACCAATGAGTATAGAAAGTCTATCCAACCACTACTAGTGTAACTACTGCCAAAATAAAAATTAATAAAATTGTGGTGTTTATGATCAAGTTAATTTCATATTATCAGGACAAGCAAACATTTAGCACAAAATAAAAAAAGGCCCACATCTCCTCAAAGATTAAATCATGGGCTGAAGATTTTCTTAACAAAACCAAGGTATAACATTTTAATTTTTGTATATCCATGAAAATAGGTTTGCAGATGACATTGAATTCATGACGGGAAAGCGACCATGGATTGGCTGGATGATCTGTTGGAAGTACATCTCCCCACTGGCTTTGTTTGTAGTCCTTGTTGCCCTCATTGCTCAACAAAGCCAAAGTGCTCCAACATACTCCAAATTTGTTGGATGTAAACAGGTATGGCAGCTGGCTAGAACTGTGTTGTTTTTTACTTCTTGTAATCTTAATGCAAGATTTGAACTAATATGTGCAAGATTAGCAGTCACCATTTACCTGAAATTAAAATCTAGTTATATCTGTCATCAGTCTGTCGAACTTTAATCCTATTTGAAATGTTGAACCATGAACTACCAAAGGGACATGGATACTTACAAGATGGGCTTTGGGATAACATGATGTTTTCTGGCAGACTGGCATTCACATTTCCCTGCATATTTGGTACAAACAAAAAAAATAGCCTGACTGTTGTAATCCTTACACTTAGGACCCTTATAGTGGTGCAGGGTCAGACAAATGGACAGTGAGGGAAGACTACCCTGACTGGGCAGTGTTTGTCCTTGTGATGATTGTGCTTGTCTCCACACTGCCAATTCTAATCTGGTTGATAAAGGATTGGCCAAAGAACTGGCGTCAAGGCTTCCACAAAATGTTCTGTACTGGTGTCAACAATTACCTGCCAGATCCTAAGAAGGAGGAGATCCCAGGAGGTGCAAATAAGGGTTCCAGTAACTTTGGCATGGAAGGGGGAAAACTGTGATATTTCAAAAGCATTTGTGCAAGTTAGCAAGTTGCACACAATTTCAGTGTGAATATGGGACTTGACACAATCTATTTGCTCACATATTTGTTAAAAGCTGGCATAGCACATTTTTCGTTCTCGCTAAACTTTACACCTGAAATGCCTAACAGTTAATAATCAAGAGATGTTAAGGTGCAAAAAGCTGCTAATGGGGGTGGAAAATTACAGGGTCTTGAAATCAATCACAATTTTCAGCTGCAGGTCTTTTTAACTTAGTGGAAACTTTTTAGTATAAAAACTAATATACTCTAAATATAACATGTTGACAATAATTGTCCAAATTACCTTAATAGTAATGTCTAGTCTAATGTGCTGGATCTTGAACTGGGTTCCATTAGCTTTCAACTAGGTAACCCCAATATTGCATAATTTTTTGTTAACTTTGTTACTAAGATGTTCTTGTAGATGTATGCATATCCTTTAGATGTCCTAAAACAGTATTAGATTTGCAAAGTTTTTTCACTCAGAGAAAACAAGATTTTATTTTAGTGTCAACCCAATTAATTCAGAAACACCCATAGATTTCTGAAAGTAAATTTATCAAGACATCCTGAAGAGTTCAAGCAAAATCCTCTCCAGTTTTCTTCTTCTTTTTAAAATCAGGGGTTTTAGAAAGTAGCAATTTACAAAGACTTGTCTCATATCTGAATGGTTCTCTGAATAGTCAGTAAGAGACTACAGTAAGTAAAGGTTCATTCTGCATTATTTTTACAATGTTTTGTAAATTGGAAATTTCTACAGATAAAGTCATTGCTAGTTTGACTTAGGGGCTGTCATGTTTTTTGGTTTAGTCACAAATATTAGTCAAGCAGAGAAGTGCTAGATTAGTAACATTACCCTCCATCTCATAGTAAGCTGAATGTAAGATCACAAGCATGTATTCCAGATTTTGTAATAAAAAATACAACAGTTCATGGTAGTTCCTCTTTATTAGTAGAGATTTTGAAAATTCAGCCCTGCAGTTAGCATTCATCTGTATTTGCATTGCACCTTCAATTGACAGAGTTACAACAGAAGGAATAAAATTTTGTGAGGAAAGAGTTGGGTCAAAACTTGACAAAACAAAGGATAGGCATAAGCTAATTGTATTTCTTCATGGATCCCTACAGGTGGCCTTGATGCACAATACACTTACTGTTCAAGTCATACCATAAAATTATAACAAAGTGTGTGTGCGCGTGCGTGTATGTGTGTGCATGTGCGTGCGTGTGTGGTATGGGGTAGAGTACCATTTCAGGTCTCTAAGGTCAAAATTTGCACATACCTTGCACAAATTTTCCCTCTATGTCTTCTCTTTTCACACCAGTCTGGCAGATTTTAAGTTTTAGGGAGCAACTTTCCATCAAAATGATAAAGGAGCAAATTGAATTAAAAAACGGGTGAGTGTAGTCCCGAGAAGGACCATTGTCAGTAACTGACAATTCAAGAACCTGAATAGAAGCCATAATCAGAGTTGATGAGCATGACTCAACTCTGATGATGAATTCCATTCAGGTTGTCAAAAAGTCAGTCACTATGCAACTCCCCTAACACAGCATCCACCATTTACATATTGTTACTCCCCCTGGACAAAATGCTTATTCACAGCAGGTAACCACTAGACAGTTTACTTGGGTTTCCCAGATAACTAATGAGTGGAGGAGGACACAGCCAGTCTCTTCTTCAAAACGCAGCACAAATCATGCCTTAAGTGTGTTCATCTCAACATTTTGATTCTCTGACAAACAAACTAACCATAGATCCACCCCATCCACATACTTTGCGATTAATTTTCCAAAATGTAATACAATAAATAGCACAGCTTCACCAGACTAAATATTATTTTAATCACAATGAAACTGTTCATAAACCTTACAAGCTTATTCATCTAAGCAATTCGTTATTTCTGCTACTAATCGGGATACTGAGTCAAGTCCAAAGTAAATACACGACTCACTGTACAGTCCTTGTCAGGCTGCAGAGAAAATTCAAATATGAAAGTCAATGAGAGAGCAATGCAGAAAACGTTCTTCATTCTTGATTGAAAGCATCAGCTATACTTAATACTGTCTATCTTTGTCATATTAATTAGTAGTATATGTTACTTCTGTTTAATAAAGGATAAGAAGTATGAAGCAAAGAGAGAAGGTAAGAGGTAAGCAGTGTACAAGGTGTTGTTAAGAGAAAGTTGTCAGAACAGGTAAAGCAGCAAAGGGCAAGAATTGTGGATTAAGGGTAAAGAGGTAGGAATTTGAAGCAAGGAGTGATAAATACACAGGATGGAGTTATGGGTAAGCAGCAGTGCTCCTTTGTTTGGAGTGCATAAAAGCAATCTCAAGAGGGTCCCCCTATACTTTTTATTTGGAGCATGAATGGGCAATATTTTTTTCATCATGAATAGTGATTTGATTTTTTTTTTATTTGATTTTGTTTATTCTAGTTTGACTGATATTTATTCTAATTTGATTCTCTAGAAAAAAAAAATTCCCTCTACAAAACTACCCAAGTCAGTTACATTATTTATCAATAATAAATCTCTAACAGAGGAAAACTCCATGAGATACCGAGGAATTTACATTGACTCAAATCTCAATTGGAAAAGTCATTAATTATATTGTAAAAAAGATTAAACGTAGTATAGGCACTCTATCAAAACTTCACTATTATCTTAATAGCAAAACCTTACTGGACCTCTACTGTGCTTTTGTATACCCATTTTTGACATACTGTATAATAGCTTGGGGCAATACTTATCAAACTTCTTTGCAGCCTCTTTTTGTATTGCAAAAGAAAGCCATCAGAATCATAACTTTCTCTGGCTTCTTAGAGAATACAAGCCCACTTTTCAAAGATTTAAATGTTATCAAATTATTTGAAGTAACTGTTCACATTGCAGTTTTTATGTACAAATTTAAAAACCCACTTCTTCCCACTAATTTTAATGTTTTTTTCACTTCAGTAAAAGAAACCCATAATTATAATACAAGGCTTTCCTCTAGAATGACTTATGCTCTGCCAAAGACAAGAACAAACTATGGTATTTTTAATATTAGATATCAAGGCGCTAAGGTTTGGAATGCAATCAGTGATGACATTAAGCTTCTATCACTTAAACAATTTAAGAAAAAGTTAAAATCAAGTATTCTTGCAAGTTACTAACTGACTTAATTATACAATACATTTCCTTTCTTCTGTTAGTTAATCTACCTATATACTGTATTTTCCTGCTTATTT